AAATCCCTGTTTTCTGAGGGGAAAACATCCTTGTTTTCTGAGGGAAGATCCTTGTTTTCTCAGGGGAAAACCCCCCATGTTTTCTGAGGGAAAAACCCGTGCTTTCTGAGGGAAAAATCCTTGTTTTCTGAGGGAAAACCCCCATGTTTTCTGAGAGAAACCCCATTTTCTGAGGGAAATCCCTGTTTTCTGAGGCAAAATCCCTGTTTTCTGAGGGAAAAATCCCTGTTTTCTGAGTGAAACCCACTTTCTGAGGCAAAAATCCCTGTTTTCTGAGGGAAAACCCTTCTTTTCTCAGGGGAAAACCCACATTTTCTGAGGCAGAACCCCCGCTTTGCGAGGGAAAATCCCTGTTTTCCGAGGAAAATCGCTGTTTTCTGAGGAAAATCCCTGCTTTCTGAGGAAAATCCCTGTTTTCCGAGGAAAATACCCGCTTTGCGAGGGAAAATCCCTGTTTTCTGAGGAAAATCCCTGTTTTCCGAGGAAAATCCCTGTTTTCTGAGGGAAAATCCCTGTTTTCTGAGGGAAACCCACTTTCTGAGGCAAAAATCCCTGTTTTCCTCAGGGGAACACTCACCTTTCTTGTGTCCCAGAGCCACGGCCAGGTCCATGGGGGTGTATCCCGAATCCGCCTCCTCCGTCAGGTCAGCGCCGCAGGCTGCGGGTCGGGAACGAGGGGTTGGGAAAAAGGGACCCCAAAAGCTGCCCCTCGCCCCCCGGGATCTGTTCCCGAGGCTGGGAAGCAGCGATTCCAGCGGCTGGGATCACCGGGAGCGGGTTTGTGCCTTACCCAGCAGGGCCTCCACGCACTTGACGTGGTTCCCGCGCACGGCGTAGAGCAGGGGCGTGCCCCCGTTCTGTGGGGAGGGAAAAGTCATTCCCGAGCTCCCGCAGATCCCGGGGGATTCCCTCAGGAGCTTCCTGACCCTCCTTTCATCCTCTCCCAGCTCCAGGCTGGGATCTGATGGGATTCCCCAGCCAGACTTGCCCAGTTTGAGGCTGGGACTCACTGGGATCCCCTTCCAGCCTGTCCCAGCTCCAAATTGGGATCCCATTCCAGCCCCTCCCAGCACCAAACTGGGATTGACTGGGATCCCATTCCAGCCTCTCCCAGCTCCAAACTGGGATCCCATTCCAGCCCCTCCCAGCTCCAAACTGGGATCCAATTCCAGACTGGGATCCCATTCCAGCCCCTCCCAGCTCCAAACTGGGATTCACTGGGATCCCATTCCAGCCTCTCCCAGCTCCAAACTGGGATCCAATTCCAGACTGGGATCCCATTCCAGCCTCTCCCAGCTCCAAACTGGGATCCAATTCCAGACTGGGATCCCATTCCAGCCTCTCCCAGCTCCAAACTGGGATCCAATTCCAGACTGGGATCCCATTCCAGCCTCTCCCAGCTCCAAACTGGGATCCAATTCCAGACTGGGATCCCATTCCAGCCTCTCCCAGCTCCAAACTGGGATCCAATTCCAGACTGGGATCCCATTCCAGCCTCTCCCAGCTCCAAACTGGGATCCAATTCCAGACTGGGATCCCATTCCAGCCTCTCCCAGCTGCGAACTGGGATCCAATTCCAGACTGGGATCCCATTCCAGCCCCTCCCAGCTCCAAACTGGGATCCAATTCCAGACTGGGATACCCTTCCAGCCCCTCCCAGCTCCAACCAGGTCCACACTGGGATCCCATTCCAGCCCCTCCCAGCTCCAAACTGGGATCCAATTCCAGACTGGGATCCCCTTCCAGCCCCTCCCAGCTCCAAACTGGGATTCACTGGGATCCCATTCCAGCCTCTCCCAGCTCCAAACTGGGATCCCATTCCAGCCTCTCCCAGCTCCAAACTGGGATTCACTGGGATCCCATTCCAGCCTCTCCCAATTCCAGTCTGGTGTCCCCTGGCCGTGCTGGTGGCACTGAGGAGGTTTATCCTGGTGTCCCCTCGGTCCTCACTGTCCCTAAAGTCCCCTGTGTCCTCTGCTGTCCCCTCTGTCCCCAGTGTTCCCGGTGTCCCCTCTTTCCCTCTGCCCCCTGTGTCCTCTTCTGTCCCCTCTGTCCTCAGTGTCCCCTCTGTCCCCTCACTGTCCCCTCTGTCCCCTCACTGTCCCCACAGTCCCCGCTGTCCCCCGGCCACGCAGGTGTCCTCACCCAGTCGTAGGTGTTGATGTCCACGTCCCTGTCCAGCAGCATGGTGACGATGTCGGTGTAGCCGCCCATGCTGGCCAGGGCCAGCGCGCTCTCCCTCTCCTTGGCCAGCGCGTGAGGGTCAGCGCCCTGGGGACAGCCACGGCCGGGGGACACTGCCAGGTGACCCTGACACAGCCACCCCCGCCCGCACCGGAATCCACACTGGGAATTATTTCAATTTCCCAGTTCCTTCCCCTGACCAAAATCCTTAACTGGGAATTATTTCAATTTCCCAGTTCCTTCCCCTGACCAAAATCCTTAACTGGGAATTATTTCAATTTCCCAGTTCCTTCCCCTGACCAAAATCCTTAACTGGGAATATTTGAATTATCCCCTGACCAAAATCCTTACTGAGAGTATTTGAATTATTTTTGAATTTGAATTTTCCAGTTCCTTCCCCTGACCAAAATCCTTAATTGGGAATATTTGAATTATTTTTGAATTTGAATTTTCCAGTTCCTTCCCCTGACCAAAACCCTTAACTGGGAATAGTTCAATTTTACAGTTCTTTTCCCTGACCAAAACCCTCACTGGGAATATTTGAATTTTCCTCCATCCTGATGGATCCTCAGCCCTTTTTTCCCTGTCTGGAAACCCCAATCCCCAATGAAAGACAGAGGCAGATCCCAGGATTAAAAACAGAGGGAGATCCCCGTATAAAAGACGGTGATCCCAAGATAAAAAATGGAAATCCAAGGAATAAAAACAGACCAAGATCCCAGGATTAAAGACAGAGGGAAATCCCAGTATAAAAAAGGGAAATACCAGGAATAAAACCCGTGGCAGATCCCAGGATAAAAGAGGGAGATGCCAGGATTAAAAACAGAGAGAGATCCCAGGATTAAAAAGGCAGATCCCAGGAATAAAAACAGCCCAAGATCCCTGGATTAAAGAGAGAGATCCCAGGATTAAAAACAGAGGGAAATCCCAGTATAAAAAAAGGGAAATCCCAGGAATAAAAACAGACCAAAATCCCAGGATTACAAAGGCAGATCCCAGGATTAAAGAGGCAGATCCCAGGATTAAAGAGGCAGATCCCAGGATTAAAGAGGCAGATCCCAGGATTACAAAGGCAGATCCCAGGATTAAAGAGGCAGATCCCAGGATTACAAAGGCAGATCCCAGGACACCACTGGATGATCCCAGGATTACAAAGGCAGATCCCAGGACACCACTGGATTTTGGAAGCCCCTGGAGCCGGGAAGTGTCCCAGGGCTCACCCATTCCAGGAGGTGCCGGACGGTCTCGATCTCCCCGAAAGCTGCAGCCCAGATCAGGGGGGTGAAGCCTCTCTCGTCGGGTTTGTTCACCAAATTCTCACCTGGGCAGGTGAAAACAGCCAGGGTGAACCCCCTGTGCTCCCAGTTAAACCAGTAAAGGCTGGAAAACCACCTCAAGCAGCTGGTGGATGGTTGGAATTGATGATTTTTGGGGATTTTTTTCCCCATCTCCAAAACTGGAAAAATCTTCCCAAAGAAAAAAAATAAAACCAAAAACCCACCCCCAGTTCCAGTGGTTTTAATTCTGAGTGCAAACCAAGCCGAGGGTTGGAGGGGACCTGGCAGGTCCTGGCAGGGACAAAGGGACACCAACCTTTCCTCAGGTGCTCCTTCAGCTGGATGAGCTCCCCTTGGGCAGCCAGCTGGTGGATGGACAGCGCTGGAAGAGACAAATCCATCAGGAAAAGCAATTCCCTGCAAATCTGGGGCAGTGGGAGCTGCTCCAGGGTGGCCCCAGCCCCTCTCCTGCTGTCCCCAAAATCCCTGGGGCGGCCCCAATCCTTTCTCTGATGTCCCCAAATTCCTGAGGTGGCCCCAATCCCTCTCCTGATGTCCCCAAATTCCAGGGATGGCCCCAACCCTTTCCCTTCTGTCCCCAAAATCCCAGGGTGGCTCCAACCCCTCTCCTGATGTCTCCAAATTCCTGAGGTGGCCCCAATCCTTCCTCTGATGTCCCCAAAATCCCAGGGTGGCCCCAAATCCCTCTCCTGCTGTCCCCAAAATCCTGGGGTGGCTCCAACCCTTTCCCTGCTGTCCCCAAATTCCTGGGGTGTCTCCAACCCTTTCCCTGCTGCTCCCAAATTCCCAGGGTGTCTCCAATCTCTCTCCTGCTGTCCCCAAAATCCCTGAGGTGGCCCCAAATCCCTCTCCTGATCTCCCCAAAATCCTGGGCTGGCCCCAATCCTTTCCCTGCTGTCCCCAAATCCTGAGGTGGCCCCAATCCCTCTTTTGATCTCCTCAAATTCCCAGGGTGTCTCCAATCCCTCTCCTGATGTCCCCAAATTCCTGGGGTGGCCCTAACCCCTCTTTTGATCTCCTCAAATTCCCGAGGCGTCTCCAATCCCTCTCCTGATCTCCCCAAAATCCTGGGGTGGCCCCAACACTTTCCCTGCTGTTCCCAAATTCCTGGGGTGTCTCCAACCCCTCTCCTGATGTCCCCAAATTCCCACGGTGGCCCCAATCCTTTCCCTGCTGTCTCCAAAATCCCAGGGTGTCTCCAATCCCTCTCCTGATCTCCCCAAATTTCTGGAGTGTCTCCAATCCTTTCCCTGCTGTCCCCAAATCCTGAGGTGGCCCCAACCCCTCTCCTGATGTCCCCAAATTCCCAGGGTGTCTCCAGCCCCTCTCCTGATGTCCCCAAATCCCGAGGTGGCCCCGGGCACTCACTGTCCAGCGTGGCCGGCAGCGCTGACACCTCGTTGCCTCGCTGTCTGTTGGTCAAGGTGTTGGAATGTTTCAGGGGGAAACCTGCCAGGGACAGCAAAATCGAGAGGGTTTTCATTTAATTTCTATTAATTTTTATTAATTCTCTATTAATTTGGGTTTATTCTCTGTTAATTTGTTTGTTCTCCATTTATTTTGGGTTTATTAGCTTTGTTTTTTATTTGTTTTGGGTCTGCTCTCTGTCAAGTTTGGGTTTGTTCTCTCTGTATATTTTGCTGTTTTCTATTAAATTTTCTGTTTATTTTCTATTAATTTGGGGTTTCTTCTTGATTTATTTATTTATTATATCATTTATTTATATTATATTTATACATTTATTATTTTATATATATTATTTATATATTATATTTATTTATATTATTATTTATTCTGTTTATTTATTTATTTGGATTTATTCTCTTAATTTTGGGTTTATTCACTATTAGTTTAGGATTTATTCTCTATTTATTCTCTACTTATTTGTTTATTCTTTACTAATTCTCGACTAATTTCAGGCTTATTTTCAATTTATTTATTCTCTATTAATTTCAGGTTTATTTTCTAATAATTCTGGGTATATTCTTCATTAATTTCAGGTTTTATTCTCTACTTATTCCCTATTAATTTTGGGTTTATTTTCTTAATTTTGAGTTTATTCTCGATTTATTTATTTATCCTCTATTATTTTTGGGTTTATTCTCTAATATATTCTCTAATAATTTCAGGTTTTATTCTCTATTCCATATTAAATTCATGTTTATTCTCTTATTTATTCTCTAATTTATTCTCTACTAATTTAGGATTTATTCTCTATTAATTTCAGGATTATTCTCTATTAATTTCTGGTTCATTTTCTATTTATTTATTCTCTATTCATTTATTCTCTATTACTTTATTTATTAGTTTATCCTCTATTAATTTTGCCCTTACTCTCTATTAATTTCGACTCTACTCTTTATTTATTTCATCGTTCCTTATTAATTTAAGTTTATTTTCCATTTATTTATGATCCATCCTCCCATTTCCCATCCTTGCCGGGCTCCACTTGGGAATCCCAAAGTGTTTCCATCCCCAGATCCGCGTTTTTTTGGGGGAAAAATCCAAGGAAAATGCGATTCCCATCTCCAATTCCAGCGTGGAGCTGCAGCGACCTCTCAGGGCTGGCAGGAGGAGTCGGCACCAAACTTTGGGATTGGGATTTTCCACCTTTCAGCCTCTTTCCCCGGATTTTTTGGGATCAGAGATCCCTGGAATTTTTCCCCTCTGTGCCACACTCACCATCCAGGGCCGGGGGCTCGCTGCTGCTCTGGGAATCCATGGAAGCAGCCGAGGAATTCCGCAGGGTCTCGGCTCCACCTGCAATCCATGGGATTCTTTGGGATTCTTTGGGATTCCTTTGGGATTCTTTGGGATTCTTTGGGATTCTCTGGGATTCTTTGGGATTCCTTTGGGATTCTTTGGGATTCTTTGGGATTCCTTTGGGATTCTCTGGGATTCTCTGGGATTCTTTGGGATTCTTTGGGATTCTCTGGGATTCTCTGGGATTCTTTGGGATTCTTTGGGATTCCTTTGGGATTCTCTGGGATTCCTTTGGGATTCTTTGGGATTCTTTGGGATTCTCTGGGATTCTTTGGGATTCTTTGGGATTCTTTGGGATTCTTTGGGATTCCTTTGGGATTCTTTGGGATTTCTTTGGGATTCTTTGGGATTCTCTGGGATTCTTTGGGATTCTTTGGGATTTCTTTGGGATTCCTTTGGGATTCTTTGGGATTCTCTGGGATTCTTTGGGATTCCTTTGGGGTTCCTTTGGGATTCTTTGGGATTCCTTTGGGATTCTTTGGGATTCCTTTGGGGTTCCTTTGGGATTCTTTGGGATTCTCTGGGATTCTTTGGGATTCCTTTGGGATTCTTTGGGATTCTTTGGGATTCTCTGGGATTCTTTGGGATTCTTTGGGATTCCTTTGGGATTCTTTGGGATTCTTTGGGATTCCTTTGGGATTCTTTGGGATTCCTTTGTGGGTGGAATCCACCACGGGAACTTTGGGATCACCCGTGGTGGTGGTGGTGGTGGGGGGATTTTTTGGGGTGTCCTGGGCTGGATGATCCCATTGAGCTCAAGAGATCCCAACCAGATCCCAGTTTCCAGGAGGATCCCGGACCCAGTTTGTCCCCCAGCATTCCCAACTCACCGTCGCCGCATTCCGGGAGCGCCACATCCCGATCCTGCTGGGGACACGCCGAGGGGACCCCGCTGTCCCCCATGGCCACCAGCTCCTCCGCTGCCTTTTTACTCTTTCCCCCCTTTTTTCACCCAATTCCGGGGGGCTCCCCGACACCTCCGGCTGCTCCTTCACCTTCCTGGCACACGGATGGGTTGGGAAGAGGGGGGGAAAACAGGGATGTGTGGACCCTGAGTGCTTGTGAGCCCCAAACTGCAGCGGGGTTTGGGGTCCCCTCTGCCCTCCCCATTCCTAAGGACCCCTCCCTTATTCTTCTCATCCTGTTCCTGGGATTCCCCATTTCCCTTCTCATCCTTTTCCTGGGATCCCCCTTATTCTCCTCATCCCTGTTCCTGGGATCCCCTTTTCCCTATTCCTGGGATCTCCCCTTATCCTCCTCATCCTGTTTCTGGGATCCCCCTTATTCTCCTCATCATATTTCTGGGATCCCCCATTTCCCTTCTCATCCTGTTTCTGGGGTCTCCCCTATTCTCCACATCCCTATTCCTGGGATCCCCTTTTCCCTATTCCTGGGATCCCCCCTTTCCCTCCACACCCCTATTCCTGGGGTCCCTCTCACTGTTCCCATCCCTATTTTTGGGGTCCTCCTCTCCCTATCCCTGTTCTTGGGGTCCCCCTTTCCCTCCCAATCCCAATTCCTGGGATCCCCCTTTCCTTCCCATCCCTGTTCCTGGCATTCCTCGCCGTTCCCATCCAAATTCCTGGGATCCCTCGCTATTCCCATCCCAATTCCCGGCACTTCCGACGCTCCCAACCGCCGCTCCCCGAGCTCGGCCCCGGGATCCCCGGGACCCTCCCGTCCCTTCTCCCCAGCCCCTCACCGCCGTCTCCGCTCCCCGATCCCTGATCCCGTTCCCTCTCCCGTTCCCGATCCCTCTCCCGTTCCCGTTCCCGGTCTCACCGCGGCCTCCCCGGCGCTCTCCCCCCTCACTTCCCGTTGCTGCGGCGGGCCCGGCCCGGCCCGGGTGGGTTCGGGGATCGCGGCCTTAAAGCGATACGAGGGACGGGCCCGGGGTGGCCGTGGGGCAGCGGGACCGCCTGGCCTCGGGGACACCTCGGGGACACCCGGGGGACACCTCGGGGACACCACGGGGACACCTCGGGAGGAACCGAGCGGAGCAAAGGCCGCGACACCCCCGGACCCCTCTGAGGGCAGCGGGGCCGCGGCGGCCGAGCCGGGCACGGCTACACCGGGAGCCACCGAGCGTCCCCGGGAGTGACAAACCGGGATCCACCGAGCGAACCGGGAGCCACCGAGCGTCCCCGGGGGTGACAATTGTGGGGACCCCCTGTTCTAGCGCTGAAGCGGAACGTTGTCACCGCGGCCGCGTTCCCAGCCGGGGCTGTTTTCTCCGCAGGGTTCCCGGGGGGGCGGTTCCGGGGGGGCACCGGCGGAAGCGGAAGTGGCGGCGGGCGGGATGGAGGAGGCGGAGATGCAGCTGAAGGTGAAGAAAGGTGGGAATGGGAAAATCGGGAATGGGAAAACCGGGAATGGGGAAAACGGGATCGGGAAGGGCCCGGTGGGGTCTGGGAGAGGCTCCGCTGTCGTGATTTGGCCGGTGGCGGCGGGACGCTGCGTGTGGGTGAGTTGGGTTTGGATTCCCGGCCTGTATCCCTCAGTGGGGGCGCCGGGAAGAGTCGGGAATATCCCGGGATATCCCTTGGGAAGTTTTCTTATGGAGTTCTGGGGGAATATTTCTGAAGATTTGTGTGGGTTGCCCTGGATTTTCATGGAGATATTTCTGTGGAGAGATTTCCGTGAATTTCTGTGGAGATGTTTCTGTTTGATTCCATGGTTTTCCGTAGAGAGATTTCCATGGATGAATTTCCATGGATTTCTATGAATTTCCATCGAGCTATTTCTGGGGATTTCCATGGATTTCTGTGGATTTCCACGGAGATATTTCCATGGATTTCTGTGGATTTCCATGGATGGATTTCCATGATGTTTATGGTGAGATTTCCATGGATTTCTGTGGATTTCCTTGGAGATATTTCTGTGGATTTCCATGGATGGATTTCCATGATATCCGTGGTGAGATTTCCATGGATTTCTGTGGATTTCCACTGAGATATTTCCATGGATTTCTGTGGAATTCCTTGGAGATATTTCTGTGGATTTCTATGAATGGATTTCCATGGATTTCTATGGATTTCCATGGAGATATTTCTGTGGAATTCCATGGATGGATTTCCATGATATTTATGGTGAGATTTCCATGGATTTCTGTGGATTTCCACTGAGATATTTCCGTGGATTTCTGTGGATTTCCATGGGGATATTTCCATGGATTTTTCCATGATATCTATGGTGAGATTTCCATGGATTTCTGTGGATTTCTCTGGAGATATTTCCATGGATTTCCATGATATTTATGATGAGATTTCCATGGATTTCTGTGGATTTCTCTGGAGATATTTCCATGGATTTCCATGATATTTATGATGAGTTTTCCATGGATTTCTGTGGATTTCCACGGAGATATTTCCATGGATTTCTGTGGATTTCCACGGAGATATTTCCATGGATTTCTGTGGATTTCCATGGATGGATTTCCATGATATCTATGGTGAGATTTCCATGGATTTCTGTGGAATTCCGTGGAGATATTTCTGTGGATTTCCATGGATGGATTTCCATGGATTTCTATGAATTTCCATCGAGCTATTTCTGTGGATTTCCATGGATTTCAGTGGATTTTCTTGGAGATATTTCTATGGCTTTCCATGGATGGATTTCCATGATATCCGTGGTGAGATTTTCATGGATTACTGTGGATTTCCATGGATGGATTTCCATGGATTTCTGTGGATTTCCACGGAGATATTTCTGTGGATTTCCATGGAGGTATTTCTATGGCTTTCCATGGATGGATTTCCGTGATATTTATGGTGAGATTCCCATGGATTTCTATGGATTTCCATGGAGATATTTCTGTGGAATTCCATGGATGGATTTCCATGATATTTATGGTGAGATTTCCATGGATTTCTGTGGATTTCCATGGATGGATTTCCGTGATACTTATGGTGAGATTCCCATGGATTTCTATGGATTTCCATGGAGATATTTCTGTGGAATTCCATGGATGGATTTCCATGATATTTATGGTGAGATTTCCATGGATTTCTGTGGATTTCCACGGAGATATTTCTGTGGATTTCCATGGAGGTATTTCTATGGCTTTCCATGGATGGATTTCCGTGATACTTATGGTGAGATTCCCATGGATTTCTATGGATTTCCATGGAGATATTTCTGTGGAATTCCATGGATGGATTTCCATGATATTTATGGTGAGATTTCCATGGATTTCTGTGGATTTCCACGGAGATATTTCTGTGGATTTCCATGGAGGTATTTCTATGGCTTTCCATGGATGGATTTCCGTGATACTTATGGTGAGATTCCCATGGATTTCTATGGATTTCCATGGAGATATTTCTGTGGAATTCCATGGATGGATTTCCATGATATTTATGGTGAGATTTCCATGGATTTCTGTGGATTTCCACGGAGATATTTCTGTGGATTTCCATGGAGGTATTTCTATGGCTTTCCATGGATGGATTTCCGTGATACTTATGGTGAGATTCCCATGGATTTCTATGGATTTCCATGGAGATATTTCTGTGGAATTCCATGGATGGATTTCCATGATATTTATGGTGAGATTTCCATGGATTTCTGTGGATTTCCACGGAGATATTTCTGTGGATTTCCATGGAGGTATTTCTATGGCTTTCCATGGATGGATTTCCGTGATACTTATGGTGAGATTCCCATGGATTTCTATGGATTTCCATGGAGATATTTCTGTGGAATTCCATGGATGGATTTCCATGATATTTATGGTGAGATTTCCATGGATTTCTGTGGATTTCCACGGAGATATTTCTGTGGATTTCCATGGAGGTATTTCTATGGCTTTCCATGGATGGATTTCCGTGATACTTATGGTGAGATTCCCATGGATTTCTATGGATTTCCATGGAGATATTTCTGTGGAATTCCATGGATGGATTTCCATGATATTTATGGTGAGATTTCCATGGATTTCTGTGGATTTCCACGGAGATATTTCTGTGGATTTCCATGGAGGTATTTCTATGGCTTTCCATGGATGGATTTCCGTGATACTTATGGTGAGATTCCCATGGATTTCTATGGATTTCCATGGAGATATTTCTGTGGAATTCCATGGATGGATTTCCATGATATTTATGGTGAGATTTCCATGGATTTCTGTGGATTTCCACGGAGATATTTCTGTGGATTTCCATGGAGGTATTTCTATGGCTTTCCATGGATGGATTTCCGTGATACTTATGGTGAGATTCCCATGGATTTCTATGGATTTCCATGGAGATATTTCTGTGGAATTCCATGGATGGATTTCCATGATATTTATGGTGAGATTTCCATGGATTTCTGTGGATTTCCACGGAGATATTTCTGTGGATTTCCATGGAGGTATTTCTATGGCTTTCCATGGATGGATTTCCGTGATACTTATGGTGAGATTCCCATGGATTTCTATGGATTTCCATGGAGATATTTCTGTGGAATTCCATGGATGGATTTCCATGATATTTATGGTGAGATTTCCATGGATTTCTGTGGATTTCCACGGAGATATTTCTGTGGATTTCCATGGAGGTATTTCTATGGCTTTCCATGGATGGATTTCCGTGATACTTATGGTGAGATTCCCATGGATTTCTATGGATTTCCATGGAGATATTTCTGTGGAATTCCATGGATGGATTTCCATGATATTTATGGTGAGATTTCCATGGATTTCTGTGGATTTCCATGGGGATATTTCCATGGATTTCCCTGATATTTATGGTGAGGTTTCCATGGATTTTTCCCGTTTTTTCCCGGCAGTGACGGACAAGTTCACGGAGAGCCTGTACGTGCTGGCCAACGAGCCGTCGGTGGCGCTGTTCCGGCTGCAGGAGCACGTGCGCCGCTCCCTGCCCGAGCTGGCCCAGCACAAGGTGGGTCCCAAAGATCCCAGGGATCATCCCACCCCGGATCCTTGGGAATTCTGCCTCCCAGACAGGAATTCCATCCCGAAAATCCCGGATCAGTCGTGGTTTGGAGCCGGTCTTTGCGGCTTGGAATTCCGTGCCTTGTCCTAAATCCATTTCCAGCTTCGTTTTCAGGGACTGGGAGCAGCTCCAGGGTTTCCCCTGGATCCTTTTCCCACTTTTCTTGGGCAGTCACAGGGATGGGCAGCCAGGAATTCCTTCCCAAATTCTCCTTTTCCAGTTTAAACCCATTCCCTGTGTCCTGGGATTCCATCCCAGATCCCAAATCCCTCTCCAGCTCTCCCGGAGCTCTGAGGTTTCCCTGGAGCTTCTCTTTTCCCACTTGGGCACTTCCAGGGATGGAGCTTCCCTGGGAATTCCATCCCATTCCCTCCCAGCCAGGAATTCCTTCCCAAATTCCCCATTCCCAGTTTGAACCCATTCCCTGTGTCCTGGAATTCCATCCCAAATCCCGAATCCCTCTCCAGCTCCCTTTTTAGGGACTGGGAGCAGCTCCAAGGTTTCCCTGGAGCTTCTCCCACTTTCCTTGGACACTCCCAGGGGTGGAGCAGCCACAGCTTCCCTGGGAATTCCATCCCATTCCCTCCCAGCCAGGAATTCCTTCCCAAATCTCCCCATTCCCAGTTGAGATCCTGCCTAATCCATGGATTTTCCTTCCCAGTCGGACATGCAGAGCTGGGAGGAGCAGAGCCAGGGAGCAATTTACACCGTGGAATACGCCTGCAGGTACTGGAATTCCCGGAATTCCGGGCTGGAAAACACAGCAGGATCCAGGGAATGAGCTGGGGTTTGGGATGAGCTTTGAGCTCTTAGCAGGAATTCTCGTTTGAGGGTGAAATTCCTGGAATTCCAGGCTGGAAACACAGCGGGATCCAGGGAATGAGGGTGGGAAGACTTTGGGATTTGGAGCTTTGATCAGCGGGAATTTTCACTTTGAGGGTGAAATTCCTGGAATTCAGAGCTGGAAAACAGCAGGATCCAGGGAATGATCTGGGATTTGGGATGAGCTTTGAGCTCCTAACAGGGTGAAATTCCTGGAATTCCGGGGGATCCGGGGAACGAGGATGGGAAAATCTGGGATTTGAGAACCCTTAGCAGGAACTTCAGGGCTTTCAAAGTGATTTTTTTTTTCCCAATTCCCACACCCCAAACATGAGATTTCCCGGGATTAGAGGGGAAACAACCGGAATTTGGGAATTCCAGCCCTTCCTCCTCCCACTTTTCCCACTTTTCCCACTTTTCCAGCGCCATTAAGAACATGACTGACAGCAGTGTTTACTTCAAGAGCATTGACAGCCTCCTCAAACATTCCATAGCCATGAAGGAGCAGCTCAACGCCGCCCAGGGCCGCAGGTATCCGGCAAAATCCCGGGAAAAGAATTCCAGGATTATCCGGGATGTCATTCCCGGCTTTTTTCCCGTTCCCCTGGGGTGAAAAAAGCAGCGTTTTTTAGGGAAAACTGGGGGAAAAATGGAATTTTAGCGAGGTTTGGTTGTGTTAAAGGGAGGGGTTTGGAATTTTGGGATGCTGGGATTGGGAAGGGGCTGCTCTGATCCCAATTTTTTTGGGTAGAATTCCTAAGGAATTGGTAGCAGCTCCTGAAATATCCTGGAGAGGTTTGGGTGATCCTGGTGGATTTGAAGCTCTGGAATTTTGGGATTTTTTGGATTTTTTTTTTGGGTTTTTGGGGGATTTTTTATTTATTTTTAACTTTTTTTTTTTTTTTTTTAGTTTTGGAGGTTTTTTTTGGGAATTTTTAATTTTTTGGGGAATTTTGGGGATTTTTTTGTGGGGGATATTTGGGATTTTTTTGGGAGATATTTTTAGGATTAATTTTAATTTTTTTTTCTTTTTTTTAAGGGATTTCTTTTATTTTCTGGAGGGGATTTTTTAATTTTTAGCAATTTTTTTTCTTTTTTTGGGGGGGATTTTGGGGATTTTTCATGTGGAAATTTTTTGGGGGGATATTTCAGGATATTTTTTTTCTTTGGGATTTTTTAGGGGATCCTTTTGGTGGAATTTTTTTTGGGGGGGGGGGATTTATTTTTTAATTCCTCGAGGGATTTTTTTGGGATTTGTTTTGATTTTTTGGGGATTTTCCACAATTAGCTTCACAGAAACCCCAAAACCCCCAAAATTCCCAAAATTTTCAGACAGCTGGATCTGACTTTTCCCATTTTTTTCCCACAGCACCATCACCCCCCAATCCAAAAATCCTCCAAGCACTTCCTGATTTTTTTCCATCCTCAATTTCCCAGCCTTGGGAAGAAGCGGAAAAACCACAGGTAGAGAGAAGCCCTTGAATTCCCAGGAAAAAAAAAAAAAAACCTGGAAAATCCCAAATCCTGCTTTTTGGGACCTCTTTTCCATGTGAAAACAAAAAAAAACCTGGATGGTTTTGTGTTTATCCTCAAAAAAAAAAACCCCAATCTCATGCTTTGGGAATTTTCCATAAAAAAAGCTGGAATGTGGGCACACTCCAAGCTTTTGTTGAGGAGGAATTCTCCAAGGAGAAGCTTTTCCAGAGGGTGCCAAGGAATTGCTGGATTTGGTTTTAATGAGGACGAGAATAAAAAGGAGAAAAAAATCCCCCAAAAAAAACTCAACAACAAGAAGAAAAATTCCTTTGAAATGTTTTAAACTTTTCTCCTGTCGCCGTGGGAGCTGCTTTTTGTTTTTTCCCGAGGTCATGGAGCAAAAAAATGTGGAATTTTGGGTTTTCAAGGGAGAAAAGGAATTGTGGCATTCCTTAAAATCCTACAAAAAAAACCCAGGATTTATTTTATTTTTCCTTTGTCTCTTGGTTTTGGAGGTGACTGGAAAGAGGCAGAGCTTTGGTGTGTGGATCCCTCCTGGATCCGGGATTTTCCAGGGATGCAGGACTCGGAATTCCAGGGGAATTGGTCTTGGGATAACAACTGGATTTTGGGATAATAGCAGTGACACCCCAAACTTTCTCTGCCACCCCAAATCCCCTTCCTGACACCCCAAATCTGCTTTTTTCCACCCCCAACCTGACTTTTCTCATCCCAAATCTGATTTTTCCCACCCCAAATCTGATTTTTCCCACCCCAAACCTGTTTTCCTACCCCAAATCTGACTTTTCTCATCCCAAATCTGATTTTTCCCACCCCAAATCTGACTTTTCCCACCCCAAACCTGTTTTCCTACCCCAAATCTGACTTTTCCCACCCCAAATCTGATTTTTCCCACCCCAAACCTGTTTTCCTACCCCAAATCTGATTTTTCTCATCCCAAACCTCCTTTTTCCGACCCCAAATCTGCTTTTTCCCACCCCAAATTGTTTTTTCCCACCTCAGATCCCCTTCCTGATACCCCAACCTGATTTTTCCCATCCCAAATCTGATTTTTCTCATCCCAAACCTCCTTTTTCCGACCCCAAATCTGCTTTTTCCCACCCCAAATTGTTTTTTCCCACCTCAGATCCCCTTCCTGATACCCCAACCTGATTTTTCCCATCCCAAATCTGATTTTTCTCATCCCAAACCTCCTTTTTCCAACCCCAAATCTGCTTTTTCCCACCCCAAATCTGTTCTTGGCCACCCCAAATCTGCTTTTTTCCACCCCAAACCTGTTTTATCCCACCCCAAATCTGATTTTTTCTACCCCAAATCTGATTTTCCCCACCCCAAATCTGATTTTTCTTATCCCAAATCTGATTTTCTCCACCCCAAACCTGATTTTCCCCACCCCAAATCTGATTTTCCCCATCCCAAATCTGATTTTCCCCACCCCAAATCTGATTTTTTCCATCCCAAATCTGATTTTTCCCATCCCAATCCTGTTTTTCCCACCCCAATCCTGATTTTCCCCACCCCAAACCCCTCCTCGATCCCAGGGTCGTGCTGAGGATGAGGATGGAGCAGGGAGGAAGGAGAAGGGCGGGAAAATCAGCCAAAATCTGCCGGAAAAGGACGGAATTCTCGTGAAAATTCCAATTTCCACTTCTCATCCCCAATTTCCAGATCCTTTCCCACAACTGGGATGGGCTTGGATGGATTTGGGGGGCTCCAGGCGGGCAGCAGAGGGATTTTGGCTGTGGATAAAAGCCAAAAATCCTGATTTTTCCAGGGAAAAAACACCAAAAACTTGGAAAAAAAAAACCCCAACTCCCGCTCCAGGACCGCGAATCCCGGGAAGCTCCTGGGAAAATCCCGATTTTCCTTCACACCAGGGTGGAATCCTTGGTGGATTTGCGAGCCATGGCATTCCTCATCTCCCTCGTGATGACGTTCCAAGGTTTTCCCTGCTCCCGGAGCAATCCCGAATCCGCCGAGAGCGTCCTGTGCGTGCGCGACAATTCCCGCTGGGATTCCCGCTGGGATTCCCGCTGGGATTCCCGCTGGGATTCCTTCTGGGATTCCTGCTGGGATTCCTTCTGGGATTCCTTCTGGGATTCCTTCTGGGATTCCTTCTGGGATTCCTTCTGGGATTCCTTGCTCCTGGCGCCGCCAGCCAAGCTCAGGTTGCTGCTGGAGGCCGAGCCCGGCTGGGATTTGCGCCGCGGGAAAAGCGGGAAGGAGAATTCCCGGCGGATTTCCGCAGGAGCCGCGGTCCCGTCCTCCCCGGGCCGGGCGGAATCGTTCTCGTACAAGGATTGGGAAAGCTCCGAGCGGCTCCGTTGGGAGATTTGGGAAATGTGGGAAGCGCGGAGCAGCGCGTGGAGCACGGAGATGAGCAGGACGAGAATTCCAGAGGTCAGGATGCAGGCGCTGGCGATCCCGGCCTCCAGCTGGAACAGCAGCAGCATGAAAAGGGCCAGAGCTGCGGGGAAAACGGGATTTGGGAATTCCGGGAATGGCTGAGGATGGAAAAGAGCTCAGGGACACCCTGAGGAGCTGCTGGGAAAACGGGATTCGGGAATTCCGGGAATGGCTGAGGATGGAAAAAAAGCTCTGGGACATCCTGAGGAGCTGCTGGGAAAACGGGATTCGGGAATTCCGGGAATGGCTGAGGATGGAAAAGAGCTCAGGGACACCCTGAGGAACCGCCGGGAAAACGGGATTCGGGAATTCTGGGACACCCTGAGGAGCTGCTGGGAAAACGGGATTCGGGAATTCCGGGAATGGCTGAGGATGGAAAAAAAGCTCTGGGACATCCTGAGGAGCTGCTGGGAAAACGGGATTCGGGAATTCTGGGAATGGCTGAAGATGGAAAGGAGCTCTGGGACATCCTGAGGAACCGCCAGGAAAACGGGATTCGGGAATTCCGGGACACCCTGAGGAACCACCAGGAAAACGGGATTTGGGAATTCCGGGACACCCTGAGGAACCGCCAGGAAAACGGGATTCGGGAATTCTGGGAATGGCTGAGGATGGAAAAAAGCTCAGGAGCTAGCAGGAAAAAGGGATGGATTTGGGAATTCTGGGACACCCTGAGGAGCTGCCAGGAAAACGGGATTCGGGAATTCTGGGAATGGCTGTGGATGGAAAAAAGCTCAGGGACATCCTGAGGAACCGCCAGGAAAACGGGATTTGGGAATTCCAGGACACCCTGAAGAGCCGCCGGGAAAACGGGATTCGGGAATTCCGGGAAATCGTGAGGAACTGCTGGGAAAACGGGATTTGGGAATTCCGGGAATGGCTGAGAATGGAAAAGAGCTCAGGGACACCCTGAGGAGCCTCTGGGAATGCTGGGATTCTGGGAATGCTGGGATTCTGGGAATGCTGGGATTCTGGGAATGCTGGGATTCTGGGAATGCTGGGATTCTGGGAATGCTGGGAATACTGGGAATGCTGGGAACACTGGGAATGCTGGGATTCTGGGAATGCTGGGGATACTGGGAATGCTGGGATTCTGGGAATGCTGGGGATACTGGGAATGCTGGGATTCTGGGAATGCTGGGATTCTGGGAATGCTGGGATTCTGGGAATGCTGGTGGGACACGTGCCTGTGAGGTAGAGGCAGACCCCGCAGCAGAAGAGGCCGATGGCCGCGTGCCGGACGCTCCGGCTGTCCAGGAGGAACCAGTCTGCCCTGGAAAAGAGGGAAAAGAGGGAAAACAGAGCCTCTGGAAAGGCTCCGAGCCCAGGGAAAAATATCTGGAATTGAGGAATTCCAGACTGATCCTGGTCCTGATCCGAGCCCAGGGAAAAATATCTGGAATGAGGAATTCAGGACTGATCCTGGTCCTGATCCGAGCACGGGGAAAAACTCTGGAATTGAGGAATTCCGGACTGATCCTGGTCCTGATCCAAGCACGGGGAAAAATATCTGGAATGAGGAATTCCGGACTGATCCTGGTCCTGATCCGAGCCCAGGGAAAAATATCTGGAATTCAGGAATTCCGGACTGATCCTGGTCCTGATCCGAGCCCAGGGAAAAATATCTGGAATTGAGGAATTCCGGACTGATCCTGGTCCTGATCCGAGCCCAGGGAAAATATCTGGAATTGAGGAATTCTGGACTGATCCTGGTCCTGATCTGAGCCCAGGGTAAAATATCTGGAATTGAGGAATTCCGGACTGATCCTGGTCCTGATCTGAGCCCAGGGTAAAATATCTGGAATTGAGGAATTCCGGACTGATCCTGGTCCTGATCCGAGCACGGGGGAGAAATGTGGAATTGAGGAATTCAGAATTGGGTTTTGTCCTGATCCAAGCCCAAGGAAAAAAAATCTGGAATTGAGAAACTCCAGACTGATCCCGGTCCTGATCCGAGCCCAGGAAAAATCTGGAATTGAGGAACTCGATTTTTTGGGATTTTTGTCCAGTTCGAAGCCCAGGAAAAAGCTTTGGAATTGAGGAATTCAAATTTGATTCTTGTCCCGCTCCTTCCAAACCCAGGAAAAATTTCTGGAATTTGGGAACTCGGGGTTGGTTCTTGTCCCTCTCCAGCTCGAGGTGACAGCACCGATATCCCAAAGCTCCCCTGGAGATTCCCAGGGAAAGCAATTCCCCAAATCCTCCTAAAATTCAAATTACCGAAAATTCAAAATATTGAAAATATTGAAATTCAAAATCTCTTTGCTCTGGGAATTGTTGGGAATGGAATTTTTCCTCTCTCATCCCCTCAAAATTCCCAAATTTCCTCTTCCAAACGGGAACATTCACACCCCAAAATCCAAAACGGGAAAATCCACAACTCCTGCAGGGGGTGGAATTTTTTTTTCCCAGCAGCAAAAAAAACCGAGTTTGTTGTGGGAATTTAATTTAAATTTTTTTTGGGTGTTTTTAGGGAAATATTTTCGCTCTCCTCCGTTAATGAAGCGTTGGAAGAGGCTGAGGAGGCGCTGCTGGAATTTTTCCAGCCCGGTGCTGCGTGCAGAGCCGGGACTGATTGGATTCTCTAATTAAGGATAAAAAGTGGCTGTTGGAACATCGTCATTCCCTGGAAATGAGTTTTGACTCAATTCCGAGAGCTCCCAAAACTTGGTGAGGCTCCCCCGGCGTCACCAAAATCCTTTAAAATCCGATTATTCCCGAGTTGTTTTTTTTTTTTTAGTTCTGGGTCAGGAGCCCATCCCAGATCCGTGAAAAAATAAAAGGAATTTTTACAGGTGTAAAAATGCTGATAAGGATTAAATTAACACCTGGTTAATGAGCCAGCCCTGGGGTCATTTTGGTGGCCCCGCAGTGACCTCGGGGACATTTTGGGGCGATCCCTGGGGTTTGGAATTCCAGGAGCTCCTTTAACCCTTCCCCAAAACACGCTGGGAATTTCAAATCGTGGCAAGGAACCCCCCTGGATTATTCCAGGTCCCAATCCAAAACTCAAACTGCAATTAAAGGGTACAATTCCAGCTCCGGGGTTCACGGGGGGATTTTCCACCGCTTGCTCCCCTCAATTCCCTTTTGGGGGAGATCCGGCGAATCCTCACGGGGGTTTTGGGGTGCGGGAGGGGTCGGCAGCTCCCCGTGCCCAGGGAACCGTGTCCTGCCTCGGTCCCGGGGTGCTGCTGCCATCCTTCGGCATCCTGCAGCCCTTCCCTCCTGTCCTGGCCCCTCCGAGCCCCCCCTGACCCCTCTGAGCCCCCCCAGACCCCTCTGAGCGCCCCCAGACCCCTCTGAGCGCCCCCAGACCCCTCTGAGCGCCCCC